CAGCATGTTTACTGAACCCCCTTTAAACACAAAAGCCATTAATCATTAATGTTGGTGTTGTGGGACACGCTGTGCTTGATTTCTTTACTCTGTAGCACGTTATTATTATTTTGGGGGAGTGAGAGTGCTTTATCAGATGAGTTTTTGGCTAATTAAAGGATGTTTGGGGTTTTTGTGTTAGTCACCAAGGCTTAGCAGGCAGCTAATTACCTCTGTCAGTAAAGAGGACTCTCCCCTTCCTGTGAGGACACTGAACCACCCTGATAATGACCTCTGACCACAGGGCTGACTGCTGTTTATTATGTTTGACTATAGCAGCGTGACGCCATGTTGATGCTGGGCCTTTATCGCTCATGTTTTCAGACGTCATTTATTTTCCTTGTTAGAGCATGATAATATAACCATGCTTAAAGCAGGACCTTTTGCTCTAGTGGCAGTTATTTCGGAACTTTTTAAAGTCCGTGTTGTTTGTTTTACGTTGGCGCTGTGCGGTTTTACTATTTTTTGCAGCCGTATATTATTGTTTACACTTGCGGCCACCACTAACGAGATGCTTTGTGGTGGATCTTACTCAGGCTACTACAGCTGTCGTCCCTTGCGTGGAGTTTTGTTTCAGTAACACGATAGGTCCGGACAAGACTGCATCGGTGGCTAAAGACAAAAATGCCTCCTAACCAGAACAGGGCCCTGGACCCCTGAATCTCATTGTTAGCCGTGGCCTCTGGTCCTCTTCCAAACCTTGCAGGGTTTTAGCCACCTGCATCAAGGACAATTCAGGTCACTTTATCCTTGAAAACACCAGAAGAGGTCTGAAGGCTGCGTCTGCACCTCCTATTTTCCACACCCACTGTGGTATGACAGGATCTGTTGCCAAGCCCTATAGTCTTACCAGACCTCCCGATGGCTGCGTGGGCAGAGATCGACACCAGCTGCTGCCCACTCCTCACACATCCCTAAAAACCAGAGCTAGTTTGGTCTGGTGTGAACATCTTAGCATAACTGACCCAAAAATGCTTTGAGAATAATCAGTTTTTGTCTTCAGTTTGTCCTGGCTCCTTTTCTTCCTAGAGCTCTGTTTATGCGTGTTAGCAGGTGACTCATGTCTTCTGGAAATGTCTCTGTCTGGATTTAAAATTCCTCATCTTTTACTACTCACTCACTCACTCACTCACTCACTCACTCACTCACTCACTCACTCACTCACTCACTCACTCACTCTCTCTCGATCTTTTTCTACCCCCCCTCTTCCACCTTTCAAAGCCAGCACCTCAAAGACAAGCCAGGTATGATTATGTCTTGGTTGCTTTTATTCTCGGAGGAGTTTCACAGTCTGCTTTTTCCACTGTCTGAAGTAAGGAGAGCTGGAGGAGAAGGGGGTAAATATTTAAAGACAAGAAAAAAGAAAAGGAAAACTTGGTGATCTGTTTATTTGGATCCCCGTGAAGATTGCCTCATATATAAGTGTTTAGCAATTTCTTCCATTATCTCATCTCAGAGGGACATTTCAATGGTTCTAGCAGAACCGCGGCATTAAAACCATTCATGGGCCTAATCTTCAGCCTTTGATCTTGTTTATTCTATCTTTTTTCTTTTCTTTGGTGCTTTGTACTGAACAAGCACACTTTAGTGTCAACCTTATAAATAATTACTACGTTTACTTTGTAGAGAGCCCTGTTGGGCTCTTTGAAAAAAAAAAGATTTGAAATCCACGAGGACTAGTAACGTGTTATAAGGGCCGGTATCCGGCACGTTTCGATTTAACCCTGCTTCAACACACCTGATTTCAATCAGCAGGTGATTAACAGGCTACTGCAGATGACCAACCACTGAATGTAGTGTGTTGGACTAGAAAAACCACTAGAACGTGCTGGACACGGGCCCTCAAGGCCGGAATTGAAGTACCTGATCAAGAGGGCGTTGCTGCCATCTTTAAACAACTCTGATGTCCTAAATTTCACAGCAGTTCATGTGATGTTATTTTATAAACATTTGCTCTTCCATTAATTCACATTACACAGTTATTTGAATGGAATTCTGTGATTAACAATGAAAAACCATTTTCATGAATTTGTCTGATTATAATCAGTCACTCTGAGTTTTTCATGCAGGCTGAACGTGAAAATAGTCTCCTACACCTATCTCCCGCATTAGCTGCTGATAGAAAACAGACGGTGAAACTCTAGGATTAGAAAAGCCTGGCAGATCTACGTCACACTGTGACACAACAATCACTGACTCACACATCTTGACTCATGATGGGGAAGGCTGTTTTTGGTTTAGCGTCCAGGAAACAGCAGAGAGCATCTCGGCTGGTTGAAGCTAACCATTAGCGTTAGCAGCTTCTCCACACAGCAGACCTCCTCCAAACTTGTGTTATTTGTGGAGATAAAACATCTACGTTGCTGAGCAAACAGAGTCAGAGTTGTGCTGCTGTTAACCAATCCGAGGTGAGATGTCCAAATATCAGGAAATAAGATTCCAAATCCTGCCGTCTGAAGCTGAGCTCCGATGTGGCTCACTTCTAGTTCCCGAAACAGGCTCTGTGGAGCTTTTATTCCTCAGAGTACAACTTACAAGGCTAGAGACCACTGCAAATGAAATGTTTAAATGGATATTCCTTTAAAAAATGCAAAAACAGCTTTATTACTTGGTCTTAGTCCTAGTTTTAGAGATACTGAGTTAATATTTGATGCTATAGCAGATCAGAATCATTCCAGCAGACACTCTCAGCCCTGCGCACAAAAACCTTGCTTAAAATTTTGATTGTACCTGTTAGAATCAAAATATCTCATGAACCACGTTGGATTATAATGCACCCTATGAAAAAGGAAGAAATATGCCTAGAATTGATTGGCTTTTGGAGTCAGACACAACATGAACTTCGTTTGCTGTTAGCAACATTAGCTGGAAAGAAAGGCGATTCTTGCCGTCCTGGTAGCTTTGAAAGAAAGAGAAAAGTTAGTTTTTGCATTGAATAAAGGGCCAGTAATGTTTCGCTGTAACTTATTAACTGATTTCAAGGATAATGAAATCATATAATGTGAGTCATTGTGTGTTGAGTCAGTGACTTATGAGTGTTTACTGCGGACACACACTGAGGGTAATTAGATTCATCTGAGAAAGAAGAGTGAGTGTCAGTTAAAGGAGTTCGCATTAAAGGGGCATTATGGAAGTTTGACAGCTAAAACACGTATAGAAATAATAAATGTCTTCTTCATACATTCTCCTGCAACGCCCTGGTCCTGTAGAATGAGCCCTGGCATTTTTACTGTGATTGCCTGTTTTTCTGTAAAATCACAGAAAAAGAGAGATGCTCGGGTCGAGCAGGCTGCTTCATGCGCGTTCATGCTCAGGCATAGCCCTCTGAACCGTTCTTTGAACGTTGTTGCAGCCGTTATGAAGGATATAAATGTTACAGATACAATCTACATCACTGGTGGTTTAGATCGTCTAGTAAGATGTCGGACTTTTGTGTGGAAGACCCAGGTTCGATTCTGGATGTGAACATAATTATTTACGAGTTTCTTTTTTACATTAATGGTATTTTTTTTTACAGTAAGATGCCCAAATTTTTATTTGAGACTCGCCAAACGGCATTGAATTCACAGATAAAAAAGATGTGGGTTCAACTTTCATTTTGGAACAATTTTTCAAGCAAGAGAAGGGAATGATCTGAGCATGCAGGAGGACTGACCCATCATAAACCTTTGTCGGCTGTGCTGAAGAGAAAGGTACAGAACCACATTATTTAATTAATTAGCTGTCCTCTGTCCTCCGGGCCACAGACACACACACAAGGGACTGTCTCAGCTGTTATTTTCGTTAAGGAGTGTGCACGTACAGCATGCACGCCTCGTGCACGAGCCTACTATTGAAGCTGCCGTTACGCTTTTGGCCTGAGGGGGCAGTCGCGAGCATAAAAATTCTAAACTAATTCTAAACTGGGGCGACGGTGGCACAGGAGTTAAGTGCTCGCCTCGCAATCGGAAGGTCGCAGGTTCGAGACCCGCTCAGTCTGTCGCTGTCGTTGTGTCCTTGGGCAAGACACTTAACCCACATTGCCTGCTGGTGGTGGTCGGAGGGACCGGTGGCGCCAGTGCTCGGCAGCCTCGCCTCTGTCAGTGCGCCCCAGGGCAGCTGTGGCTACATCGTAGCTCATCCCCACCAGTGTGTGAATGTGTGTGTGAATGGGTGAATGACTGATTGTGTTGTAAAGCACCTTGGGGGGGTTCCAGGACTCTAGAAGGCGCTATATCAAATACAGGCCATTTACCATTTACCATTTAAACTACGTAAAGTCCCTTTAAAAGTTGAGAATAGCAACTATATTTTTGTACAACAGTTTCATTTCTACAGTAACAATATATAAAGGGCAATAAAAATGCATGATGAGGTTGGATTTGCTTCACCGTTTAGCTCAGGGCAAGCTAAATGAGTTCAATCCAGTTAACCCAGACTAGTCCAACACAGGGAAACAAGATAAAGTTCTAGAACATGCATGCTTGTTTTTCACATCTCGCTGTTAGCCTTTGAAATTCACATCTAATAGTGAGAGAGACAAAGATGTGGTTGCATGCATTAGAGATGGAGGCCAGCTGCTTAGAAAGAGTCCACTGTGTGAAAGTTCAGATCCCTGCTGTGGGTACATGTCAGAGCTCAGAAGGTGCATTTTAGAGAGAAAACTTCTTGTGGCTTTTATTTTTCTTTGTAGGTTTATCATCTAATGTGTGCATAAACAACCACAAAACCCGATAAAGGGGAACGGGCCACAACATAAGAGATTTACGCCAGGACGTTGCCTTTGTTTAGCCTGATATTTCTGGGTAAACAGCGAAAATCAAAGCTTTGACACTTTTAAGGTGGAGCTGTTTCCAAACAGGGCTTGTGTTGTGTATTATGAGTTTATTTGTCATGAACTGGAAATGTTTTTTTTTTCCCGATTGCTGTTTTATGAGTTTTTTCTCATGGGAATGGTTCCTGTTATTTTCTTCCTTCTCCAGGTTGAGCTGCATCTGAAGCCCATCCAGTCCATGCTGCACCACCAGAAGCCTCTGGTCTTTTTGCTGAATTCCCCCCAACCGCTGATCTGGAATGTCAAGGCAGAGAACCTGGAGCTGCACATTAGACATACCTTTCATGTGAGTCCAGCATCACAGAAAGCCTTTAAATCCTCCTTCCTTAAGCCGTTTTCATTTCCCTTACTGTCCTGCCTTTACGGTAGCCGTTCACTAAAATACTAGATGCGATGTCAATTTGTTGAAGAGGCCTCTCCGCACCCTAAAACGTTTTTTATATTAAAGATTAATCTAGAGGGCATTTTTCTCTTTTACCTAACTTGTTTAGATTACGTAATTTAATAACATGATTATTCATCTACATCTCCACTCTTGAGCGACTGCTGATTACACCAGGAGCAGCTGAAAAAAACAGCAGGTTGTCCTCTAGCTCTAAACACCGTCCGAGAGTTATAATCTAGGAAAAAATAGTACAGATTTAAGGGAAAATATGTTTTTTTCTTATAATTTAATGTTTAAAGTTTTTGGCTATGATAAAAAAGCTGAAGGAAAGGTTTTTGTTTGGAGCTGGGTACAAATAGCAGCAGGGAAGAGGATTTAATTTAGGATATTGTGATGTAGCTGGAGCTAGGTCCCCTAGGGATCAGCCATATTAGGTAAATGGATCAGAGGGCATCTCTGGGAAACCTAATATAAAATGTAAAAATGGACTGCTTCACTGATCTTTGAAGCCATTTTAAAACCCCAGAAAATCCCAGCAGAATACAAAACAGAATGCGTCAGCTGTGATGTTAAATGTGTCCTGTATCCGAGCAGATTTGTCTTGAGGCTTTTTGACATCCCAGAAGTTATCAGTTTTAGTTCAACAGTAAATTAAAGTAATTTTTAGGTATTCTGAACTTTGTTTAGGTGTAGAAACTATGTATAATTACTTTCTTATTCATCTTGGATAGCTTCCTGAATGGCCTCTGTTGGGAGAAATAAAGTTTCAGCAGGACTGATGAGCTAATGACTAGTTTGAGAAAAGCATGTTGCTGCCGTCCTCAAACTATTTCCTAAATGTCACTAGCCTGACAAGCCATCCTATATATGTGAATGTATAATTTGACCACAGGAGAGCTCAGCCATGAGGCAAAATCTACTGTTGTCTTTCAAACTGTCTCTGCGTGCTATTGGACAACAAGCAATGTGATGTACTCACTGCTACAGATGTTAATCAATGTGGCAATCCACCATACACTTTTGAAGAAAACCCAATTACACCCTTTTTCTAAATAGAACCTCTATCTGCTCTTGATGCCAAAGCTGTTTCAAATGAGCCGCTGTCACCTCTGTCCTTCCACTCCGTCGCATCATCCCGGCCCCCAAACAGATAGAGCGCTGTGATTGGCACTAGGGGTTGCATGACTTAATTATTTTTAAAGTCGACCGTCAAGTAATGAAAATCGAGTCGACTTCGACTAGTCGTTGATGACGTCACACACCTGAAGCGGTTAAAACTGACGATGGGTGACCAAGCGTTTTTTTCCAATGCACAGGGGTGGAGGGTGGGGTGGGGGGTGGGGGTTGGGTCGCTGGAGTTTTTGACAATTAAAATTGCGCCCACATTTTCTAAGTTAAACACATTTCTTTTAACAACGGTTTCTGCATCTTGCTTCAGCCCTCTCCCCCCTCCCCCTGCGCGGCGGCCGCAAACTCACTGATGCGCCTGCAGCCTCTCGGAGTTCCTGCTGCTCTAAAAACTAAAATAATTATTTAATTTTCTGTTCCTCACTTCTGATTACCTTCAATGGTGTCTGTTTGTTGCAACCACCAGGTACAAAAACTAACTTGTTTTTATTTGACTATTTTTCTGTCCTGCCTGTTTATTATCTTCCTGCATCTCCTCTCAGTCCTAAAGAAAAACTGCTACCTGGGTTCATATATATTCACCTCATGAGTTGCCTTTGAACTGCAGTTCTAAAAGATCTACCGACCGCAAAAACAGCTGAGTGCTCGCCGGCCGCATCAGTGAGGTGCGTCACCGGAGGACAAAACAGGTGATGCGCTCCGCTCCACAGCAGCGAAACGCATCAGGCACAAATAAAAGACAGAAAACATAAAAGGAAATGAGCCGACATGAACGATCGCATGTTAAATTAGTTTTTGAGGTGGCGACACCTGATTTGATAATGTTACTGTGGCCGTGCTCAGGACGCAAATTTCTGGAGCGCGTCAACGATCAGAGCTTTGCATGCGCAAGCTGGTTAAGGTTAGGATGGGGGTGAGGGGAAGGTTAAACTGCAAGAGGGTAAAGGTCACAATTCGCTCAAATGCCCGTTTTACGGTGTGCGTCAGATACCGACGCTCTGGCACAGCGCGTCGCCTCCCGACGCGCAGGGGCTCGTCACCGGCTGTCTTTTCCGAGGACTGCAGCTTGTCGGTCATTATCACGTGACCGCGACTAGTCGATGAAAGTCATAAAAAGTCACTACAGAGCAGTGAAGTTGACTAGTCGACTAGTTGATACAACCCCCAATTGTCACAACACAAAGCTGCTCAGGCCAATGGTAGGCCTGCTGATGCTCCTATGGAGCGTGGCTAGATCAACATGCAGAGCAAAATCCTTTTGCTTCAGTTCGTCTAGATCTCTAGACCAAAATGTAACTGCAATTTATGTCATGCTGTCATATGAACCTTTACGCTGCTGTCAGTTTCACAATACAGGTGTTTACATGGAATTATGGTTAGTTATCAGCATGACGCCACTACCAGCAGCATGTGGCACTTGTGGTTCTCTGGATGTCAAATCTGGCAAGAACATAATATTATTTCTACCAAATCAAAAGTGTAAAGCAAAATCCAACATGTAAAGCATGCATATGGAAAATTAAACAACACATTTTGGGTTTGGGTTCATTTAAGCTGTTTTTACCTCATTTGGCAGAGACCAAATCTCCTAAATTGTGCAGAACTTTATGCAAACATTATTTATAAACTTCACACATCTGCAAGTTTCCAGTTTCTTAAACAACCATGACTGATTCATCTGATTCTTCTTAGAAAACTATATTCAAAATAATAAAAAAAAAAAGAAAGAAAATGTTATGAACTTAGAAGATTACTTAGGTCTTGGCTGCACAGACTATCAATCAATCAATCAATCAATCAATCAATCAATCAATCAATGCTTTATTTATAAAGCGCCTTCCGCAACCCTGTCAGGAAGCCCAAGGCGCTGAACATGGTACAGAAAGTTAAATAAAGTGAATAAATAAATAAATAAAAGCAATTCAAAATATAGATTACAAATTACAAAAAAGGTGAAACATTCGGGACAAATGTGTAAAACAATGGATTGAGTGAACCAATGAAAACTATTAAATAAAATTAACATAAAAGAGGGTCAAATTCAAACATGTTCAGGGAACGCCAAGCGGAGGAGGTGTGTTTTTAGGTGACTCTTAAAGACTGGCAGAGATGGGGACAGCCTAACTGAGGGTGGCAACTGGTTCCAGAGTAACGGTGCTAGGACTGAGAAAGCCCGGTCCCCACGGGTACGACACCTAGAACGAGGGACAGCGAGCAGGCCTTGGTCAGAGGAGCGCAGAGCGCGTGATGGGGAATGTCTGTTCAGGAGTGAGGCTAGATAGGGGGGACCACCACCCTGGAAGAAATTAAAAACAAAGATGAGGATTTTGAATTGTGAACGATAGCAAACCGGAAGTCAGTGCAGGGAGGCCAGAACCGGACTGATGTGGTCCCGTTTCCTGGTCCCAGTCAGGAACCTGGCTGCGCTGTTCTGCACAACCTGTAGGCGACGCAGTGATGACTGACACAACCCTGCATAGAGACAGTTGCAGTAATCAAGCCTAGAAATAACGAAGGCATGGAGTACCCACTCCAGGTGGGCTCTCGACAGCATAGGCTTGATTTTTGCAAGGCATCTCAGGTGAAAGAAACTGGACCGGATCACAGAGTTGATGTGTGCATCAAATTTAAGTCCAGCATCAATTTTCACCCCCAAACTGGTGACAACTATTAGCTCATCGGTCCTAAAGGATTTAAACTCATTTCTCCAAACAAAGGATTTTCAGAAAGCCATCTACAAAATATGAAATAATTATTTACACAGAAAAACATCTTAGAAAGTCAGAAGCATTCCTTTAACACTGCAGCCTTGAGCAGGAATGTGCCGTAGCATCAGGTACACCGATTATTCCCACATGTGCTCTCAAACACAAAACATCCTCCTGTGAAAGCCAGCGTGACATGGAGGGATATCTGTAATGACGGTATGAATGTTGAATTACACAGATCTATTCACAAGTTTCAAATGAAGAATTTGGTGCCCACCCACATATTTTGGTTTGACATTTACAGAGAGGCATTAACATTCCACCTTTAGACCACATGACATTTCTTTCCACTTGCATGACAGCTGATTTCTTCACTCAGTCATTAGTGATCATCACCATCGCATCAACGTGCTTCCTGTACAGTAAAGTGTTTGTACAGCGGTCAGGGTCTTTGAATTAAGTCGATGAAAATTACAGTGAGAAAAATAATGTTTAGAGCATTTTTTAAATATTTAGTCTGAAGACTAATAATTGCTGCATTTCTTTCAAACTTATTGAGTAAGCTTGTTAAATAGTGAGTCTCTCAAGAATCATGATTAAGATGTTTCCATAGTTAAGCAGCCTTGAGTGTGCATATTTATAGTAGCCCGACATCCTCCATTATTCTGGCTGGAACTTGAATATTTCTGAGTCCAAGCTGAAGTGTCAGATTTCTCTCTTGGCCGTCTTGTTTGGTATTTGTCAGACACACAACAGCAGCTCTTTAAGTTGAGGATCTGGATAGGGGGGGTCCCTGCAGTCAGACAAAGCTGAGCTAATGGCTTTTACCGACTCTGGGGCTCCCCCACTGAATTAGGTGTTAAGTATGTAATGTTTGAGTGACAAGGCCTGGCCTCTGGCAGCGAGGGCCGTCGGTATCTTATTCACCAGCCTGACTTGTTTGCGGGGGCAAAACCCAGAAGAGTCCAGATGCTGCTGCTCGTCTCTAGTTCTTTCCGCGGTGACGCCTCCTTAACGTGCCACAAATCTGTCACAACACACCGCTGACTGAACAGTCACAAAGCT